CATCGGAGCAGCCATAGCACAGTGAGCCAGGCAACTTGCAGTCATGGATGAACCAATCTCACACACGATTGGCTATCGTCGATGACAAACCCCCAAGGGCACAACAAGAACATAAGGGTGACAGCCAATGAAGCAGAGAGACTCCAGCCTCCTGGAACCACAGGAAAGCATAGGGACAGGGCATGGCAGACTGACATCGAATCCAGGATTCACCACAGGTGGGGCAGTGCACAATGCTAGCAGTGGACCAGGAGTGGACCACAAAAGCTGGGAGGCCCAAGTTGCACTGAACAGGGTGTCCACAAAGATGATCGTTATGGCACCAAGATCAAAGAACACACGGTGGGGCCCACGAAATATATCCCTAATGAAGTAGGTCAAAGACAAGCCCCACACAACTGGGTGCAATGCAACATGGGCTGAGGATCACGTTCAACCCAATAAAACACACGTAAAGGAGTCAGACAACGTGAAGATGGCCCCAAGAACTTCAACATTTGCATACAGGTGGATTTACTGATAACAGGTGTCAATGGCCCGGCACCTCTACACCAAAGGCCCAAGACAAAAATCTGACAGGAAACCAGGTCTCGATGTCACTGAGCCGAGGCTAACAGGCATCAAGGCCTTTGGCCTCATGCCCAAAGCCACAAAAATTGGGCTCTGTGGAACATCAGAACTTGTGCAAACAAATCAACAGATTTCAGGATGGGAAATTGGGTTAACCAGATGGCTTTGCGTGCACAATGCACAAGGGTGTCCAGACTTGCAACACGACAAGCGCTATTTGCTGTCAAGACTGTAGTGAAATTTTCAATTGTGATTGCTGGTCCTTAGTTCTTACTTGATCAGTTGATCAAGGCATCCCAAAGCAATTTCTGCCAATCAATCAGAGCATGTACCAGGAATGCAGGCCCTTGCATAGCATTGTGTTGCCAAAATAGGAATGAAAAACCAAAACACAGAGGGCAAGAAACAAGGCAACGAACATTCATGCGAATCCTTGCATGCGCTGCCATTCTAAAGGAAAGCATGCACATGTCCACGATTACTCTTGGGCAGCACTTCACATACCGGACTGGAGGTGACATTTGCATAAAAGTCCTGAATGAGTGTGTCGATGCTGGACACTTCGGAGCCAGTAGAAAACCTGCAGCATCCAACATCGAGTATCAGGCCTGCCTCCAGGCACAATACCAGCATGTTCTGTTCCACTTTGCAGCTGCAATTGTTCAGTTTGCACAGGAAATCCAAATTTCTGCTTGTGCCCCGCTTCAAACAGCACCGGCAACATCATCTGATACAGATATTCCCGCAGATCAGCATCTGTCACCAAGAATCATCCAGAAAATCCTGAACTCTTTGAGCGATGGAACATGCAACTCACCAACCCACTATCCCCTCCCCTGGATGAACTTTCTGGTGTAGCTCAAGCATTGTCCTGTTGTGATTGATGTCCACCGACACCTAAACTACAGCACACCCAGGCAAGCTCAGAATCGATGCAATAATGACGTGTCTGATCCGAGTAGAGCAATTTATGATTTGCAATACTCACCAAGATCTACGCAAAGCCCCACAAATCCAAAAAGAATGTGAGTCATGGTGCAAGGCTGACCAACAGACTTCTAGCTGCTACATTTGTCTTAAACAGAGAACTGCACTTGCATCTGCCAGGCGATGTTGGCCTCCAGCCACAGAAACAAACTGTGTTCTTGAGGATGAGGGGCCCCAGTCTCCAGCCAACAGCATGGAAACAGCGCCCATACGCCCGACCCGACAAAACGAAGCAGTGAATACTGCAAATGCAATGCGCTGTGCGCACAGCCCCCCTAACAAACCGTTTTGAGACTACTTTCCAACTCAAATGAGCAACAGTCAACCCTCTAACTGCAAAAGATTGAGGCCGAGATGGGCGGTGCGATTGATGAAGATTAAGGCTGCCGGGGCGTGCATACGGACAGATTCCCTCTGCGGCTCGTCCACCGGCTCCCCCTCGCAGATCGCGTGAAATCAATGGGTCCCGCCGCACAGCCCGACTCCCCAGCAAGGCTTCCATCCCCGGGCTGCCCCCCCCCCCACCTGTTCCAGGCTCTCCGAGTGCGTCACTGTGAAGCAGCTCGTGACCTCCACCACCCCGTCGTTGACGGTCCCAAGCAGGGTGCCGATCACCCTCGCCTGCTTGGGCCCCCGCCGTATGTATGAGTCGCACACGGTGAGCGGCACCACGGGGTGCACGCGGACGCCGCCCTTGAGGAGGTGCAGCGGCCCCGTCATGGCGGCGGCTGGCTCGGGGGCGGCTGCGGAAGATCGAGCAGCGGGGAGAGGGGGAGGCCACCAAGGGGGGACAGGCGCGCGCTGCAGCGGTGGTTCGTGTGCTCTGGCGCTGGCACCCTGCGCGGACTGTGGGTCTGGGAGGCGACCCCCGGGCTTGGTATAGAGGCGTCAAGTGGATACGGTGTGTTGGAGCCGATCTGTACGCCCCAGGGATGCCCAGAGGCATACAGGCGTATCTTTGTCGAGTGTTGTCCATCCTGTCATTTCATCAGTGTCCTTCATTCAGTTCCTGTTGTCTCATCACCTCTTTATGCGTCCAGCTATTGTTGCTACTCAATCGGTTTTGGTTAGTCCGTTCATCGGTGTCCTTAATCCAGTTCCTGTCGTCTCATCACCTCCTTATGCGTCCAGCTATTGATACTACTCAATCAGTTTTGGTTGCAACAGGGTTTTAACGCAACGACCCATTCTTTGGGGGCAACCCGTCCATTGGCTGTCGGTTGGGATGGTGCATGCTGCGGTTTGGGCTGAGCTAGACTGCCGTCATGGATGATGGCTGGGAGCTCAATTATCATTCTACCGGACCAACACGCCCACTGCACCCTCTCCTGAGATTGGGGCAAATGTGCTAAACGGCTGACAGCGCCATTCTGCTGGAGCTCCTGAGCAGGAAGACTGCGTCGGATGGCCGAGAATATTCATAAGCCAGGACCCCGGGACAGGCGTCGAAATTCCATGAATTACATTTGTCACAGAGCATATGACAAAACAGACCCTTGCACCTTGTAGGCGATGACGGGCCACATGCAAACCAGGTCCAATGTTTGTCCCTTGTTCAGAGCGGGGTCACAGCAACCCCGCATACCCGCGCGCCCATGGGGCAGGACCCGCAGAATCCAGAAAGAAAGAAAAGACAAGGAAAAGAAATGCCGGGACAGGCATGTGGGACGACTGTTCTGGGACGGCTGCGGGCACCCGCAACACTGTGGTGATTGTGCTGAAACGCCACTCGGGATGGCCACCTTGGCCCTTCACGTCTGCCGATTGCGGCTGGCTGGTTGTTTCCTTCCTGTTTTCCTTTTGCTTCCCTTCATCCTGTGTGATAATAGCAGCGCCACTGCACAATGACGCGAGCACCCCGCCTCCTCCACGCGCATGTCCACGGTGGCACGCATTAGGTCATCGGCCCTCGCGGCCTGGCGTGGCTGCGGCCCGGGGCCCCGGCGCCCACCCTGCAAACCTCGCGTCACCTTTTCGGGGGTGCGCATAGGCGCACCGGCATGCGGGCCCCGCGCCTGGCAGACCGCCTGAGAGCCGCGCTGCTGAGAGCCGCCTTCCCCGACCTCGAGCGCGCCCTCTCCCGGGGCGCCGCCGGCAGACTGCGCCCACGGGGCGGCCATCCCCGCCGCGTGCCCGCAGCGATGGCGGACAACGAGCGCAGCAAGAAGCGCCACAGGGTGTCGTCGCCCGACCTCAACGACCGCAGGCCCAGGAGCGGCCACACGTACAAGGTGCCCGGGTACGGGAACTCCCCGTACGTGGTGTCGGAGTACGAGTTCGAGGTAAGTGAAGGATGCGCGCTGGTGTGGTCGGCGGTGGGCGCGTTGATGGTGCGCGAGGATTGATCGCCCCTGTGGCGGCCCCAGGTGCCGCTGGACTATTCAGGTCACGTGCCCGGCAGGATAAAAATCTTCGCGAGAGAGGTGGTGGCCCAGAACAAGATGTGCCAGCAGCTGCCCTACCTGCTGTACCTCCAAGGTGAGGGGGGCGCCGGGCGTCCGGCGGGCGATTGGCGCACCGCCGCGCCCGTCTTGACGCGGCATCCAGCCGGGTCTGCCACGATGGCGAGCTCCCGCCGCCGGGACTGTCCTGCCGCGGAAAAGGACCTGCCCGTTCCATCGAATGGCTGCTTAATCGAACGAGCGCCAACGCATCTTCTTGCCGCATGAACGGCCAGCGTTCGGCCGGATTCGAGGCAGGAGGCGCTGGGAGGCGAGTGCTGGTCTGACGGTCCCTGCGCTCTCGCAGGGGGCCCTGGGTTCGCGGCGACGCTGCCCATCGACGGCGGAGCGTGGCTGCGCACCGCTGCCAACTCATTTCGTGTCGTGTTGCTCGATCAGAGGGGCACGGGGCGCTCAGACCCAGTGACCTGCCGCAACTTGACAAAGAAGGGAACGCCGAAGCAGCAAGCGGACTATCTGAAATTCTTTAGGTGGGCGCCAAGCAGCCGCTGTGTCGTGCACAACTGCGCTCACGTGGAGGTTTTCCATTCCCTTCACCAGTGTTGCTGGTCGCTGTGCTGCACCGATTCCTGCATGCCCCAAGCACTCGCGCCGTCGCCCGTGAATTGTCTTTGCTCATCATCGCCACGGTGTGGCTGAGGCAGCTCGCTCGTTGCACAGATCTTGACCACTTGGATTTTGTTGGGTGGTTGCTGAGTCAGTGTAAACGAAATTATAGTCAAGCATGTTCAGTCATTGGAGGTCTGGCGTTTTGTTTTGGGCCAATGACATTGAATGCTAGACTTTCACAGATTGCACAGATTTGTGATCATCTTTTGTTGCATGTCGTCTGATCACAAGTGGTTCCATGCAATACTACTGCAGGGCAGACAGCATAGTAAGGGATGCAGAGTATGTGCGTGAGGCTCTGGTGCCAAGGGATGGATCTTCCAAGGGGAAATGGAGCATCCTGGGGCAGTCGTTTGGTGGCTTCTGTGCTGTTCACTACCTATCTGCAGCTCCTCAAGGTGATTTGCGCTCACCATGACAGGAAGCTCCATTTTATCAGAAGGAAATTTGTCAGCAGGCACCGTCTTGCTGATAAGATCGTTGGTGAATCTCTTGTCCATGCTAGGAAGGGGGGACAAAATTCTCCAAGTGCAGCGGAATTGCATCCACCCCAAGCTGCATATCTACCAATTGGATATGCCCTCAGGAGTGCCTCTGTGCGCTGGGGTGCAAACTTGCTGCGAATGCGAATTCTCCAGTGGCTTTTCACTTGCAGACTGGGTAACACCTATGCTCCTGAAACACTTGGGCCTTGGAAAGCAGGTTTTCAGGATGCTTGCACGTCTGCCAACATGTCATGTTTGTCCTGAAGTACGATTCTGATCACCAAATGTGTGATCAGGAAATGTTGTGGTGTTCAGCTCTCCCTTCAGGGCAGCACAATTCTGCAACGATCATTCAGCAGGATTGGCTGTAGGTAACCTGGTGAGTGCCTAATATGTTTTGTGATTGTCCTTCTAGGGCTTGCAGAAGTGATGATAACAGCTGGCATTCCCCCCCGGATAGAAGAAGATAACCCTGCTGATGAAACGTACGAGGCACTATTCGAGAGGGTCATCAAACAGAACAAAACTTTCTATGAGCGCTTTCCACAGGATGTTAAAGCTGTCCAGGACATTGTCCTGCACCTCAGCAAACAGCCCAAAGGTGGCGTGAAGCTACCAGGAGGGTCATTCCTCACACCAAGGAGCTTCCAGTTACTTGGTGTGGGCCTGGGATTTCTGGGTGGCCTTGAGCGAATGCATTACCTTATTGAGTCAGCCTTTGACGGTGGGGAGCTGAGCTTGAAGTTTTTAAAGGTGAGTTATTTGCACTAACCAAAAACCACAGCACCCAAGTGTGCCTTGCATGCTGCTGTATCTGCTCATTCCAGCAAGTTTTCACTCAATGTGTGGACAATTTAAATTTGCTTGACGATCAACATTGCTGTGTCACTTGAAAGATAGCTGGAAACGGGGAAACTGGTGAAGTGCAACCAGTGGCCTGCGTTTGCTTTTCCTCTGGCATTTGTTGTACATATGGTAGTGTGCATACAAGAAAACGAAGGCAGCAGTGGCACCAATATACAGCCTGTCCAGTGAATTCCAGAAGACGGGCATGGAGTTTGAAAGAAGTGCATGCACAATGCAACGTGACTGGTGCTTGGTGCATCGAAAATGCTTGATTAATATGAATCGTTCAGGCTAGGAGAAGTGCCCTTTCATGGTTTGGCATAACAGGGAGCACGTCATACTGGTGCAAGAATTGGCACTGCTGTGCTGATGGCTGTTCTGTTATTCAACAGCAGCACACCTGGTTCAATATGGTCTGTGGGGGGCCTGTGATTGCTTTGCGGAGCAGCCTGCACTCAACATGACCAGTGCTATTGCGGTGATGTGCTTTGAATTGCCATGCGAGTACAGCATCAAAGAACCACCGCACTTGAGCACTGAAGGGATGGCGGGCGCACGCACTTCTGTATGTGGAGGCTTTGGCCTGCGATTGGGTGGATTGGTCACAGGTATTTGTGCTGTTCAGGGATTCGAGGGTTGGATGAGCTGGGAGACAAACCCCTTGTATGCATTACTGCATGAGCCGATCTACAGCCAAGGGCCTGGAGCTGCTTGGGCGGCCCATCGAATTCGGAAGGAGAAGTATGACAGCATGTTCGATGCTGTTAAGTGTGCCTCAAAAGGTGCGACTAGTGGCCTTCGAGAGACATAGCATCATCAAGTCATGGATCGTGTTGATATCTCAAATGCTTACAGTCTGCGGGTGTGTACCCCTGACCCTGGCTGCCTGCTCTGCCCCTTTCGACCATGTTTTACTGCATTTGCCCTGACCCTCAGGAGACCCAGTCTACTTTACTGGAGAGATGGTGTTCCCGTGGATGTTTGACGACTTTGTGGAGCTGAGGCCGCTGAAGGAAACTGCAGATCTAGTGGCAAAGCACAACAGCTGGTCACGGCTCTATGACATCGACACTCTTCGCTGCAACAAAGTGCCTGTGGCTGCTGTTGCATATTTTGAGGTGGGTGCACACGAATGCTGCTCCACACTGGTTCAACGACCCCGCTTGCTGTTGTTTGATAATTTCAAGAGCATGCGGGGTGCCAAGGTTGTCGGCCTCACTTCGATGCAGCCTTGTGACACCATGTGCACATGGGTGCCCTATGCTGGCTGAATACTATATATTCTATACTGCAATTGTGCGCCATTTCGAGTGGGAGCTGCTGTGCCCTTGATGTGCAGATACAATGCAATGTGGTCAGTGGCATGTGCAGTGTGCCCAAACGAGTTGACTGTGCCGGTGCTTGCTCATGCCAGCTGTGCCGTGCTGCCCGCCAACACCTTTCTTGGTTTATTGTTTAACGCGACCCACTTTGCTTGCTAATGTGAAGCTCCTTCTAGCATTGTACAGGCATTGGCGCATTCGCCTCTGCTATTTCGAATATTGGTGAATTAGTACCATTGTTTTGGCTGCAAACGTCCCCACATAACTTGTGCACAATTCTGCAACCAAAGTGGGCGACTGACAAAAGGCAAATGATCCAGTTTGTTTGCTGGTAGGTACAAGCATGCAGGAAGTTATGCACGAATGGGCTACTGTTTGGTGCTGTCTATGTTGCAATGTCTTGCCGAATTTGGAAGAGAACATCACTTGTGGCTGTGACTGTTGCTTTGTGCATCAATTTCCAAGAGTTGCTCCCCTGCTTGTAGGACATGTACGTTGACTTTAACCTTGCCAAGAAGTCCGCCGACCACATCGAAGGGCTGCGGTTGTGGGTGACGAGCGATTACTTACACTCGGGAATTCGGGACGATGGCACTAAAATTTTTGAGAGGCTCATGGGCATGGTTCGGGACAATATTCTTTTGACCTAGTGGAGAAGTGGAGAACTCACGGCTATCCAACAGGTGAGAGTACTCATTTCTGGGATCAGTTCCCGGGATGCACGTGCCTGTGGTCCTGGGTTTTGTGCTTTCGAGGCATTGGAATATTCTGCCTCTCTCCAGAGCATTGGGGGAGAAACGTCACAAACACAGCTGGCGATGGACTGTGAACTTGGCCTCTGGCTACAGGCTCTGGGCTGCCGGTTGACACTGTTGTCACAGCAATGGGTCTTTCACAGAATGCCAGAACTATTGCGTGCTCGCGTGCACACACACACGCACACAAACACGCGCGCGCGCCCCTGCGCGATCCAATCATGTGAGGTGGCCTGCGTTCCATCAGGTACTACGTGCGTGGTTGGGCAACTCACAATAAACTAGATGGGCGGGTCAGGCACAGGGCTAGTTTCTGGGAGTATCCCTTGCGCCCTTGTAGTATGTTCCAGCTGCCTCATTGCTGACCGTGCTTCCTAACACGTTGGGATGATACCCTCCTCCAATGATTCCGACACTGGTGGTGGGGTACACCACCAGCCACATCATCTCTCACCAGCAAGGCCTCCTAACCACAGACGGTGTTGAACCACGTATCAATAACCGATGCTCCGGTCAAAACCCCAAGATCCCGATCAATGTTGAGTGGGTCGATTGGTCCGTCAAGACTCGAGGGCTTCGTATCCGAATCCGTACTCAACTCGCTCCTCGCCCTGGCCCTGTTCAGGGGTTGCATTCCCAAGGTTGTGGACCTCCTGACAGATCTGACAGCAGGGACGGAGGCACGGCACTTTGCAGTGTTCATGCTCCACGCGGCACAATCGGCAACAATAGCCATCAACCGACTGACTGGATTGGCGTACCCTGAGAAGGGAAGGGGGGTGTTATGTTGAAGACGGGTCAAGGCCGCTCCCAAAGGGATCCCCTGTACTAATGTGCCGGCCGCCAAGGCGGTTGGCGTGTCATGTATGAGTGGACCCCCAGGGGCCCCTCGAGAGAACTTAGACTAGTATCGTATCGTAGACCAGGATCATATCGTCCAACATCAACGATGCTGTTCCGGGCAGACGCCGAAACCACTCTATTCCTCAATTGGCAGAAGCGCACCAAGTGGATGCCAATCGAGGAGGCGTCGTGTCACGGCACGCATGCATGCAAAGTCGTCAATCCTTGTGTAGATAGATGCCAGTATGACTCGTGAACATTTCCCAATGGCACGATGCAAAATGGAGAAATCATAAGGAAAGGCAAACAGCCAATATTGTGGCGACAGGAGAGTGTTGACAATTGGGTGATTGAAGCGGCCGCGGGCAAGGAGGGTAGGCTTCGATGCGGTACATTGAGACGTTCCGTGGACGTCGTCGAAGATCGAACGCTTGGGGTAGTCAAACAAGCTACGACTTGTGCACTACTGATTAGCTGTGGATTCCGCCTCTTCTTCGCTTTTGCCAATGTTGTTGCGATTGCTTCTTACCATGATGGTCTGGACCCTCGCCGCCTCCGTTTGTCAATTCGGTGCTAAGCATACCAGAATCGACATGCTAGGTTCTTTCATTTGCTTCCAGCTTTCCTCATTTTTGTGCTTGTTAAGGAAGGCACTATGTCGAAATTGGTACACTTAGCGTCAATTTGACAAAGGGGGCGGGGTTGGGGTGTTAAGATGGCATTACAGAGTATCGTGGCGAAAACCCTTCTTTTCCATATTTCAGGCGCTATAAGAGGCAGCCCCGGAACAACACAAGGCATGAAAACAGGGAAGCGCATTGTTGGTCCACAGATCATGCTCAGCATCCACCCACGGTGTTCAAGCTGAGCGGACCCACAGGAAACTCACCAGGAGATACAACAGCAAACGAAGTCAAATAGAAAACCCCAGAAAGGGAGAAACATGAGGAAAATGCAAAAGAGCCACAGCAGAGGAACCAAAACTAAAACAACCAAAAAGACACTCCACCAATGCCCAACACCCAGAACCGGCAGTGCCACCCATATCCAACCACCGCGAAAACCAACCGCAAAGTTTGGGGCCAAACGCCCACCTCCAGAGGCCCTAGACAGGCAGCGCGGCCGGGTAAAACTCAACCCAGCTGCCTGCAATGAGGGCATGCATGCCGTAGCCCTGTCTCCAAACGGCCCTTACTGCTGCAGCCGAAACACCCTCACACCTCGAAGGCGCCAGTGTGGGGAGGGGGTGGGGGTGGGGTTTTAAGATTTGTTATAAGGAAGAAAGGGGGGGCTGGGCTTAACGTCACATTGACGCTAAGTGCACCAAAATTGACACAACATCTTTCCTTAGAAGTATTTTTGGTGACTATGCATGAAATAAATGACAGGAAACCATGGGCAAAGGTGGGTGAGGCACTTGCACCAAGTTACCAAGACTTCCTCAACCACCGCTAAGGGGCTTGAAGAGAAGTATTTTTGGTGACTATGCATGAAATAAATGACAGGAAACCATGGGCAAAGGTGGGTGAGGCGCTTGCACCAAGTTACCAAGACTTCCTCAACCACCGCTAAGGGGCTTGAAGAGAAGTATTTTTGGTGACTATGCATGAAATAAATGGCAGGAAACCATGGGCAAAGGTGGGTGAGGCGCTTGCACCAAGTTACCAAGACTTCCTCAACCACCGCTAAGGGGCTTGAAGAGAAGTATTTTTGGTGACTATGCATGAAATAAATGACAGGAAACCATGGGCAAAGGTGGGTGAGGCGCTTGCACCAAGTTACCAAGACTTCCTCAACCACCGCTAAGGGGCTTGAAGAGAAGGCAGGACCAGAGCGCCTAGCACAATTGACGCCGCACATGTTGGTGCATTGACGATAGACAAGATGTTGATCTGCGTGACGCGCAACCTCTAATCAAATAGGGCGAACTGGTAAACCGAACTTTGGAAAATGAGGGTGGCATTGCAACAGTAGTCAGGGTGATGATAGCCGCCGTGAAAAGATTGTTTTTCTGTTAACGAACGGAAATTGACCTCAAGAGGGCAAGGCAGGGAATGTTGGGTGGCAGGCGCTGTGGGAAAAGTGTAACAAGGCGACATTAAAACTGAGGAATAGCGAGCATGGCATGTGCAACTTGCCAAGAGGCACCCTGCAGGCAAGCGGTGCCAGCCAACCTTCTCCCTTTTTGAGGCAACCTATTTAACCCCATAGCAAATAATATTGAATCTGGTACCAAACTGCTGCTGTACCAAATAAAATTGACACCAACACCAAATAATGGTGAATCTGATACCAAACTGCCAACGTACAAAATAAAATTGAAAATGGTACGCATGTTCAACTTGGCATCAAATTCGCATCAGTGCAAAGATGTTGAACGTTGTACCAAAAAATGTTGAACCCAGTACCAATTAGTCATCAACCCGCTGCTGCGGTACAAGGCTCCTAAACCCTAACCCTAACCCGACCAACCAACCATGCGCAAGCCCAATGCTGGTCGCAGAGTGGCCTTCAATGACTAATTGGTGTTGGGTTCAGCATTTTTTGTACACCACTCAACATTTTTGGTACCAGCGCAAATTTGGTACCAGATTGAATACTTGTTGGTACTATTTGCAACTTTATTTGGTAGGCTGGTTGTTTGGTACCAGATTCAATATTATTTGGTGCTAGTTTCAGTTTTCTTTGGTAGGGCAGCAGTTTGATACCAGATTCAATTATTTGTTACGGAATTAAATATGTGCGCTTTGGGTTGGTTGATTACATAGGTCCTTGCACCAACTTATTGTTTGTGTTTGTTGTCCGGAGCATAGCGGTAATGGCTATAGGGCCCTGGTTGGTGGCGTACTGGAGGCACCGCGGATTGTGGATTCATGCAGCCAGTGCATAAGTATTGTTGTACACCTGACTAGTACAAATGCACTCACGATGCGCTCCTCTGTGCTTGCAACCTGCCAATCCAATATCTATTGTCATGTTGTATGCCTCTCTAGTAATCCATGGCCTGGAGCAGTCCTTGTGACGACCAACAAATCTTAAGTTATCAACCGCCAGGAATAATCAAATCATGTCGCACATAGACAGAAGCAGCTAAGCGCACATTCCGCAGTCGACCTTCCTGTTAGCATGCGTCCTGTTTGGCATACACCCCAAATTCAGCCATCTGTGTGCAAGGGCGCAGGTATCAAAATTGTTTTCGTGCTCATATTGCATCATAGAATTCCTGCCTTCATTCAATCGCAATATCATTCTTCCCTTGTGGACCACAGCACCTGCGAGCCTGCCAGTCCCTGCCTGCCAGCCATCGTTCACCTCCCACTCCCATTAGCTCAGCACTGCCTGACAGCAGGCCACACAACATGACTCATAGCTAACATGGTCTTCCTCACCGCAACAATGATGGTGTCAACAACGGTCCATGCGCCCTGCCCTGATGCACATTCCGTCGGTCTTCTCGGACTCATCATGGCCCCTGCCTTTGTGATCGACAAGGCTATTGGAAAAGTGCAGATGACCATCTGGAAGCCCCACACGCCACCCGAACTGGGGGGATGCAGATCGAGAGACGGACACCAAAAACAATCCCACAGGCCGGCAGCGATCGCGTCGGTCCCACAGCCATATCGGGGTACCTTCCATGCCCAGCAGCCACGCAACATCGCGCCCTACCTACAATGTCACACTCCTGTCCTTCGTCGCCTTACATGTCCCCAACTCCCATCACCGACTCAACTGCCCACTCCCACGCCACCAGCCGGCCGGCCGCTGGCCGGTGTCACCCCGGGCGACTTCAGGCCTTTTCAGCCAACCCGATCCCCTGAACGCCGACGGCGCCATTCCCACCTGTTTCCTCCAGCCGACGGAGCGACAGGCCATCAGCCGCCTGGCCGCCGTCCGCCTCCACGACGACAGTGTCCTCTTCCTGGAACTCCCCTCGCAGCATTGCCTTGGCCAATTTGGTCTCCAGCTCCCTCTGGACCGCCCTCTTAACGGGCCTGGCTCCAAACACGGGATCGAAGCCCTTCGCGGCCAGGTACTCCAGGGCGCTGTCTCGCAGGTCCAGCTTGATCTTCTTGTCCGCCAGTCGCTGGGCGACGCGCTTGGCCTGCGGCACACGGAGAGGTGGTTCCCTGATTGAGAGCCGCCGGCATGTCGCGCAGGTGCCTGTGGAAGCCCTTGCAGAAGGGCGACGCTGCAAATGCAGGGAGTGCACCCTTTGGATTGCAGGCAGAGTTCGATTCAACGCGTGGATGTGGACAAGCAGAAATTCACACATGTGCACAGAAACAACCCTGTGCCTGTATCAGCCTGCGAAAAAGGTTTGGTGCGCTGCTTTTGGCACAGTTCATGGACTGCATAAATCTGAAACTCATATCCCCAAAACGGTTTCCGACTGTAACGCAAGGAACTGTAATACCTCTCCCAACATAGAAATTGGCAGGAGGACCCAAATAGGCCCTTGTCAGCACGACATTGTCGCACCTGCAGCAACACGATGCTCTTGATCTCTTCCAAGCGAAGGGGATCAAACATTATGTATTCATCAATGCGATTGACAAACTCGGGTCTGAATGTGCTTCGCACGAGCGACATGACCATCTCTGTCCTTGTTGCCTTGTCAGATTCCTCCAAACTCGCGGAAGACCCAAGGTTGGATGTCATGATGACAATGCAGTTCTTGAAGCTGACTGTTCTGCCTTGAGAGTCAGTGACACGCCCATCATCAAGGAGCTGCAATATTTCAAAAACAGTCTCAGCACAGCAAACTGCCTGCAACAGGCAGGTTTTGGGACGTTAACTCCATGTTTCAAACAGCTGAGAGCCGGTACGCATCTCGATGGGTTATCAAGGCACTTGCCATTTGACAGGAATGTTTGTTAATTCCACACAGCACTGTTCCATTCACTCGGCAACAATATCTTACACGACGCCCTGCAGTGGAGGAAAATGAAGCATGAGCTGGGGACCACACTGACAAAACGAAAGTAGTTATCTGCAACGCTGTGTTTTAAACTTGGGAAACACGGAGGATTGAACCCAACTTTGAGAGGTTTCACATGGCCTCCGGGCTGTCCAAAATGAGCATATAGGCTAGACACAGCCACCTCGATTTCAATCGCGTCATCACAAAACAAAGCACTGCAAGAGCAAACATACATTGCAATGGCGCAAGAGGGCATGACAATGGTGAGCAGGAAGTTCCAAACGTCTTTGGTTTACGAAATCCATTGACGCTACGGAGCAGACACGAGCTCTGAGACCATCCAAACACGTCACAATTCTTCTTTAACAATTCAACAACGCTGCAGGGCGCAGTTTCACAGACCTATCAGGCATCAGGACAGCTCAACGCGAACGCCATATTGGTTCCAATCAGATGAAGGTGCCCAACACAATCAGGGCGGATTCAAGTCAACATTCAGAAAGGAGCCCTCACCTGCAGCAAGATATTGAAAACATCCCCATGAGCTTTTTCCGTTTCATCAAACAGAACGACGGCATATGGCCGCCTCCTGACGGCCTCTGTTAATTGACCCCCCTCTTCGTATCCAACGTAACCAGGAGGAGCGCCGATCAAGCGGCTGACAGAGTGCTTTTCCATGTATTCGCTCATGTCCACACGCACGATGGCGTCCTCTGTGCTGAACAGGTTTTCAGCCAATGCCTTGGCCAGCTCCGTCTTGCCGACACCTGGCAGCAGCATTTGCGGTGGCTGCGTCACAGATAGGCATGCTGAAAGGTGTAGGACGCTGTCTGACACACATGAGCCCAAGCACAGCGCCAATGTTCTCGCATTAGCAAGCAGATGTATGATGAGCAGTTGAACTGTTGTGAAGCAGCCAGGTTGAAGACTGCAAGCTGCTATGCAACACCCCAAGGTCACAGATAAGCATCAGATATGTCACACAATCTTCACAACGATGGTGCACAGCACTGTGGAAATTTCGATGCAGGAAACAACACAGCAAGACATCTCTCAACGTGGAATTTCCTGAGTCGCCCAGAAGCACTTGCTGCCCACTGTCAACAAGGCTCATGGACAGACATCAGTGGTGCGCATGCAACAAACCAACTGAAAGTACCAGCCAGATACAATGCACTGCAGTCCCCATAGACATCTCTGCATCTGGGGAAGTTCAAAAAGGGTAGCAATGTGGAATTCGGTTGCAACAACGAAACAGTGTTTTATTGAGAGCCAGCACGTTTGGCAGTGCTCTGCAACGTTGGCTCAGCTTCCGTCACCTGTTGGTCCAAGAAACATGAATGAAGCGATTGGCCTTTCTGGATCAGCTAAGCCCGCACGCGACCTCTGAATGGCATCTGCAACCGCCTCAACAGCTTCGTTCTGCCCCACTACCCTTTTGTGCAGCTGCTCGCTCAGGAGGAGCAGTTTTTCCTTTTCAGACTGCAAGAGCTTGGTCACAGGGATGCCAGTCCACTTGGAAATTACTTCAGAGATGTCCTCCTCTGTGACCTCCTCCCTGAGCATCCGGCTGCCCTCAGCATGCTGGGTCAGCGCTTCCTCTGCGGCCTTCAGCTTCTTCTGGAGGTTGATCAAGGTTCCATACTTCAGCTCGGCAGCCCTGTGAGATGGGAACACAGACTCAGGACATGCCCATGCATGCTGCTGTACTTCATAACATTTGTCACCATATTACAAAGTGCTCCCCTTGTATCTGCAAGGTGACGATGGGCACTAGCAAGAGTATCAAAGTATACCCAGAATGATCTTGATAATCATTCTCTGCAGGAAAGCACTTGGGGTGGAACAAGCAGACAAGAAAAGCCATTGCAATTCCTGAAGACCTTCAGTCCCTGAGACAAAACTCTATCCATCAATGGTGTCCAACAGAAACGAAAATCGCTTCTGACAATTGCAATATGCAGAACTGCAGAAAATGCAGAATTCGAAGGCGAGTTCCTGGATTTGGGGCCAAATTGCTACTTGAATACTTCGACACTGCTCAAGCCGTGTGCCCATATGCACCTGTTGAGATCATAGTCCCTTTCTGACTGTTGAATCTCCAAGTTCACCCGTTCGACCTCCTCCTTGATGTCCTGCAGCTGCGACATTTCCTTCTTCTCCTGTTCCCACTTCTCAGTAAGTGTCTTCTGCTGGGATTTCAATGTCTTCAGCTCAGACTCCAGCAGCTGGAACCTGCGGGCCGCCTGCTTGTCCGACGAACTTGGCTTCGCCAGAGCCCTGATCTCCATTTCCGTCTGCAGCACTTTGCGGTCAATGTCATCAAGGGCAAGGGGCTTGGAGGTGATTTCCATCTTCAACTTGGCAGCTGCCTCATCTACAAGGTCAATGGCCTTGTCAGGCAGAAACCGATCGGCAATGTAGCGATCGGAAAGGGCTGCTGCTTCCACAAGCGCAGTGTCTGATATCCGGACGCCATGGTGCAGCTCATACCTGGATTATGGGAGCCCACATGAATGCCAGTTGGTGATATCATCTACATGCTGCAGCAGAGACGTCACACTGCACACTAAACAAATAACTTTACTGGTTCGATTTCAAGCCGTTGTCAAAGATTCTCTGCCATAAATGTGGAAACATTTCACACAGTGGGCACTACCTCCAGCATGCAGAAGTTTCTGTAACTTTTCCGTACTATGAAAGATGATGCAGATGCCTATGAGTCCATTGCTATCCATGGTCACTGTGCATGCTATCGTCTGCTGTGCTTGCACAGATCAATCACTGCATGACTTCAGCTGTGTTGCACACCTCTCCCTCAGCCCACGCAATATGGAAACAGTCTGTGCCACAGTGGGTTGGTCTATGTAGACCTGCTGGAATCGTCGTTCCAGGGCAGCATCCTTCTCGATGTATTGCCTGTACTCATCCAAAGTGGTGGCACCTATGCACCTTAACTCTCCACGACCTAGCATCGGTTTCAGAAGATTTCCAGCATCCATGGCACCCTGCGAAGCCGGAAAGATGATGACTATTATTATAAGTGTTGCATTATTGGAAGCATTCACACAAAATTTCTCCCATTTTCATCCTGTTCCTCAAAAACATATTCCAAGAACAGCCCAAACAGAATGAGCTGCAGCCATCAGCTGTACCACACACAGATCTCAAACCCGTGCCTCTCCAACAGGGGCATACAACTTTACACATCAGGTTGCACTTCAACAGAACGAAACGAAGATTGCACTGGCGCCAGTGACCAACAGCCGGGAACGACAGGAGGAGGAGAAAAAAAGCATAAAATTGTTCAAGGTTCAACATTGGCTCTGGTATTTCGCAAGAGTATTTTCGAATCCTGGCCACATATTTTGATACCCAGCAAACATCTCTGACAATTCCATTGGTACCATTTTGATGTTGCTGTGGACAACACTCCACTTTAACAGGTGCAAGGGCAGTGCATTATTGTGTCCTGCAGCAAATGCAACAACCATTAATAAATTCAAACACCATCCAACAGAGCGCGGATCTGAGAGAAGTGTACCTGAGTTGCGCCTGCTCCAACTACAGTGTGGATCTCATCAATGAATAGCACGATTTTGCCATTCGAGCTCGTGACCTCCTTGATGACTGCCTTCAACCGATCTTCGAACTCTCCTCTGTACTTAGCCCCTGCTATTAAAGCACCTATGTCCAGAGCCATCAGAGTTCTGTCCTGCAGAGCTGCTGGAACGTCACCATCAACTATTCTTTGTGCCAGCCCTTCAGCCACAGCAGTTTTCCCAACCCCAGGTTCACCAATGAGGACTGGGTTGTTTTTAGTCCGGCGGGACAAGATCTGAATCGATCTGCGTATTTCATCATCCCTTCCTATGACTGGATCCAACTGACCATTCCTTGCAGCCTCTGTCAGATCACGTGCATATTTAGCAAGTGCTTCATACTTCCCCTCAGGGTCCTGCAAAGACAACAGAGCATCAATCATGGCTGTAAAGAATCTGCATATCAAGTGAAGACGTTTGCTGCAGCATCATGTGAATGGTCTATAGTTCCTTCCAGCTGGTCCCCTTCCCTGCCTGCTTTGCTGGCTCTGAAGACCTCACTAAACAGCAATAGCCACTCACCTGTGCCTGTGGAGCAGCTCTTGGCCAAGTGCCGCAGCTGGGGGCAATAAATTGTTGAAAAGTTGTTGAGAGTGGGATTGCCTTGAAAGGAAATCATGATATGTGGATGGGAAAACGCATATCCCAAAATGTGCAGTCTGTGCAGACACAGGGGCAGTTGTGCATAATGTTTTGGAGCTTGGACTGAGGTGCTAGGGTTGCATGGCCAGTCTGGAAATGCTGCCTGGGCAGAAGAGGAAAGTTCATGGGTTCAGAGATGATGAGCAGGATGTGCCAAGTGCAGAGATCCACAGAAGAAACATAGTGTTGGTTGCTCAAGTTGTTCTTTCACCTTGAGAGATCTGCGTCTGCAAAGTTCCCATGGCTTAATCGACTGGTCCCATTCCAAGTCGTGCTTTCGACACACCTGATCAGTAATCCTGGTACTACCTCGAATTTCCTCCACTGCCTTAAGCAATGCATCGTAGGTCAGCTTCCTGCCTCTAAGAAGTGACTCCCCAAATCGGACATCCTGGGCAAGTGCTAAGACAAGGTGCTCAACAGAGACAAAGCTGTCTTTCCATTGGCTCTTGAGCTGTTGGGCTTTCTCCACCACACCCTCAAGATGCCGACCCAAAACCTGTCGCAGTGCACCCATCAAGATCAATAGAAATACAACATCAGTGCCAAGGCGATGCAGAAATGAGATACTCACTGTCTTGGGCACCAGGGCCGTGAGCACAAAGCGGCAAAACGCTTCGTCGTCAACTGCTACATATAAGTCGGCACTCAAAGGCGCCCTGGAAGTCAAGTACTGCAAGTGTGACACACATCACCGCCAACCTCTAGATCTTAAAAAGCAGATTCTGACGAAAGGATGCTTGTCTTAGTTGATTCAGCAATTATCACTACCTTCCACACGATTCCTAGCAACCAGCAAATCTTCCGCAGTATCACTTTCAATTTATTTCCACTAGGACAGCTCCCCAGTGTCATACCTGTGCAGAATCACCAGATACCCGTGGCAGCCTCCGAATGTGCTCATCTATGGTCTCCAGCAGAGCAGTGGGATCTCCACCAGCTTTTGAAATAATGCGCCTTGCCAAACCGTTGGGCTGCTCCATAAGTGCCTTGAAGAGGTGCTCCGTCTCCACAACCTGGTGACTGTAGTCCTTGGCAATCTCAGGAGCTGCAACTATCGCCTGAGAGAGCCCGTGCAAGTATGAAAGGAATGTGAGCAAAGCAACTTTGACAGCCACGCTCAAGCCCTGTCAACAATGCCTGGTCTTGTTTACATCAGCTACCCACCTTCAGACCATGTCCCCATAGTATATTCCCAACAGTGCACATGACTGCAAGAACAGAGCTGGTGGTTTGACATCACGCAGTATGATTCTATACTCATTGAATCAGCAACATCTATCCACCTACCTGCCAGCTTTTCTCCGTGAAATCGTTCTGGGAGATCCGCTTGCCCCCACCTGGAGTTTGAGCACGCACAACCAGTTGACGGCTATGCCTGGTGGATGGTCTGCATGCACAGGCATCAAAGTGGATGTGAACGAAAGAGATGGTGCAGATTACCTTCTGTGTTGCGTCAAGTGTCGACGTCTGCGATCCTGTGAAGCTCCTTACAGAAAATTGGCCAAATCTTTTGAGCTGCACAGTCGCTATGCTGCTTTCCTGTCCAGTGTATCAGCATGTTCTTGCCACAGACACAGAAGCAAACAGACAGCAAACGAACAGCAGAGCAGCGTGCCCCACTGGGATGCCACATGCCTTCAGTCAACGCTTGATGTCCCTTGTTGGGAGTGATGGGGGTGGCCATGACCAGGCAGCACATTCCAGCCAACTTTCATAATCCACACGATCGTTTCGAAACCGCATTTCTCTTGCAATGACAATGAAAACATTACTCACGAGGTGACGAAGGGTGCGATCATGGGCTCCATGGGCCGGTCCGCGTTGGACCAAGGAGATCAACTCCACACTGTATAGCAACCGCAGACACCGATGCACCGCTCAAATGCCCCCCTCACCGCTTGAAGGCGAGCGGGGATGGTCCCCACAGCGGCCCACCGCCAAATGACGCCACCGCCATCGCACCACTCCCCACCGCCGCTCCCGTCGAAACTCCCCGCGGGGGGCGCCTCAGCGCGTTGGGAAGCAGGCTTGGCACGGAAGGCAGGAGGCGCCACGTCCGCCCCATGCCTCCCATCCTGCCCCATTCAATGCCGGAAACGCGCATCCCCAAGGACCCTGTATTCTGGCTTGACGTAAGTCCCTTCCACGCGCCACTCGGCGACTTCCACCGGAATAGCAATGACCAATTTTGGACGCCACGCCAGGGATGCGACTCCGCCAATAAAACCACTGCCGCGGAGAGGTGGACCGAAGCAAGTCGGAGCCCTCTGCGCAGGGTTTCCCGTTCCACGGTCACGGGGAGACGAGCACCAAGGGACGGCCAACTTCAGCGCTGCGTTTTGTTGCTGACGTGCCTTTGTGTGCCCCATGTTCGTTACCGCTGCGACACTCTTGCCGGAACCCCGACCTTGTCAGCATTTGTCACTATTTGTGCCACCTGCCTGGCTCGTCTTCAGGTGGTTTCAAAGTTTCACTTTTTTCAGATTCTTGCACCAAGTTTGGCAACGAAACCTCAAAACCATTCGATCAAAAATCCAGCCGTCCAACCAGCTGGGATACGAGACAAACTTCTGCGGGAAAGCTTGGAGCGCAGTCGGATTTATGTGCGCTGATCCGATATTGCGTTGTGATGAGTCACAATCAGATCTCAAATCACTACTCCGAAATTTCAAGCAAAGACCCACCGGACTTCGTGCCCGCTGGTCAGGCATTCCAGGCATCACAACCGTGACACGGAAAGCTCAAGCCCAAGGGGCAGATGAACAGCACCGTTCACCTTGCGGCCTTGGCACATCGACCTACGTCCAGACCCACGAATTCAGTTCTCAATTTCCCTTTACTTCCCTCAACCTCTCCATTTCCTTTTTCTGTGTCTTTCTTCACAGATGCGATGGTTGACAAGACATCGATGGTTGCCACAATGGCCTTTTCTTTCAGCCAATGGCCTATGCCACCTCAATGAGTGCATTTTTGGCCATTCGCACAAGCTGGCATGGGTGCTTGACGGAGCCAGCTTTGTGTTCCAGTGCCTGTAACCCAGCATTCACCCAAACGCGGCAGCCAGGACGCGCAACATTTCAAGGCATGGAGGACACCATCAGTTCCCTGTTCGTCCAAGAGCAGCAGTGTGCGGCGTGTGTTGTTGCGAGAATGGAAGCTATTTTCTCGACGCAGGCCAGCCGCTGCCACTGCCGGTGGTCAACTGAGTTGTTGGCTATTGAAATTCGTGATTTCGTGAAACCTTGCCAAGCCCTGATCATTTGTCGCGATAAAGGCAATGCAGCCAAACCGTAACGGCACATTGTATGAAAATGGTGTGCATGGTCATTCATGGACGTGGGTTTTGATCTCCACAGCTCTCGGAAAATGCAGTTGATTTCACTTGCCAGAAGGTGGCCAAACCTGCCATTGTATCCTTCAAGGAGATCAACGGCATGTTTCCATCCACAGCGTTTGGTCGAGAGTGGTCAGTGCACCCAAGCCAGAAGAACACCAGAAGGTTGGAAATGAAAATAGTAAGAAGGCACACTCCACTGCACGAATTCATGATCCATGTGCATTGCTCCCTGGGGCACAGATCAAGCAGCGCGAGGCAAATATGCCTCATTAGTGGACAGAATGGAGAGAAAGCAAGTAGGCCCCGCTGGGTCACTAGCAGAGGTATGTCAGTTCTCTTGGCTATACTACCTACTGCAGCTTGCTTGGGCGACACAAGGCGATCGTCCTCCAGGAGCGAACCCCAGAACGAAATCGGAGGTTGAGCAGCAAGGACACCAAGCACGCCAATTTATTCCAGAATTTTCAAGGCGGTTGTCTCCATTGTGTCACTCAGCTCCAGAAGATGAGATGCATTTTCTCTTCACTGACGTGCTTGCGATGACGCTGGCCGAAGTCAATCCAGTGCATTTCGATATCGCACTGTGCCCAGACGCGGCTGCGCCCATGATTCATCACAATCCGCTGTATCACACAAGCAAATCCAGAAATCCATCAAATTCCAATTCCGAGAAGCGTTTGTCGGTGGTGGTGTATGGAAAGGACTGTCCTCGCCAGTTGACGAGCGGGGACGGAAGCAAAAAGTATTTTTGCACTCGGAAGCTGGCGGCTACCCCCTTGCCTTGTTATGTAGAAATGAATGATGATGATGATGATGATGATGGCGATGGACGGCGGAATGCCATCATCCGAGCATACTCATGAATTGCGTAATGGAGCTGTTCTGGAATGTCCGGATGTCTCCTGCTGAGTTCAATTGCTGCGGCGCAGCAAGCACCACTGGTAGACGACTCCTGCAATGCGGCCCGAAGTCCATTGTGTCCCCAAATTCGACGCCCACTGGTTGCTGGCATGCCTTGCAACAGTAAAACATGCTGAAAATGCCACAGTGACGAAGGGCGCCTTCACGATGGGAGTACAGTGCTTTTGCAGATTTAGAATGGCGCTGGAAGCCTGATTCATTCGCATTGGCAGCGTGCCTCCAGCTTCACCATCTCCAAGCACACGGTTTTACGCTGCAACCCGTCTCCAGCCCGGAGCCCGTTTCTGCGCTCATTGGCAGCCGTCAAGTAAATCGGGAGCCGCTCGATTTGTTTGTGCCTGGTCTGCGTGTCTGTTCGCGCCTGTGCCCAGCCTCAGCACGGCATTGGGTTTGTTCCAAATGTGGTAAGATCGGATGCCTTGCTTTGGCCCGTTGGTAGGGAGTACAGGGGAATGGTGGCTCTCGCAACGCTGTTTTGTGCCATCATTTCACGATTACAGGATCGCAGTTCCCGTCCTCTCAATTACTTCAATCTTAATTCCATACTCGGCGTGTGCCAGCTTTACACGCCTCCAAACATCAAATCGTCAGGGATCGTTTTGGCCCTGGATCGCCAGTCAAATCCCATGGATGGCTTTGTGTGACGCTGGGAGACATTGAAGCCCCAACGCATTAATGTCACAACCCAAATACACCCTGACAAAACCCGTCAAGCTCGGAGCCTCGAACCGTGCTCTGTCAGCCACACAGCCTCGGGACCCTCACAGACGTTGATGACCCCATTGGAGCCGCCGAATTTACTTCCAGCCAATGATTATCTCGCGTGCGTGACACGATCCCATGCTCTCCAATCCCTTACTTGAACAAACAGTCCACCATGGCTGCAACAAACAGCGTCCCTGCCCCTCTAACCGCCATGCTAACAATGACTCCACTTCATTGAACTCAACTGCAGCAAAACTGCATCAACTCGCCTTCCCAACATCAGTGTAATTATGATCGACTTCGCTTACACCCTCGCCAGCAACCTCAATATCCCTATACGAACCCGAGGTTCACAGTACCCAAGTCCAATAGTCTGCAAAAGGTGTGCAGTGCGTCGCGTTTCAGCCTGAGCAGCATACTCAGGAGGCTGCATGCTTTGGTCTCAGGATCGATTGGCCCCTTCCTCATCATTCTCAGTGCCTGAACTTCACAACCAAAAGAGTGAAGCGTCTGATATCAGGCAGTGAAAAGGAGGGGCGGTAGTACATAATCGTCCCCACAAAACATGGAACCCGACTTCCGGATGTCCAAAACGGAGTACACAGCCGCTGCCGGTCGCAGCAACACAGGACGCCTTAAGACCTGCTCCAAAGAGGCAACAAGGCCTGATTGGGAGCCATTTCTGAGATCGCAATGGGCACCACTGCCACATGCACTCTTGTAGATCTGGAGAAGCCGTCATATGTGGGATCTACTCTGCCCTGATCAAGACTATTCTGTCTTTCCAGATTTCCACTTCAAGTCATCATCATCCTTGGTCTTGGAGTGTGACGGCGTCCATGTTAGAAACCGACTTTGCACTCGACAAGTCGTCTCTCATAGGATCGGCGACCTCTGTCTCCTCCGCTTAAGCCACATCCACCACCACCGGTTCGCCCTTTGCGCAGCCCGACATTTACAACTTCGTCAGCGAGGGGCAACACCGCCCCACATTCCTGAATGGAAACCCTTCTCATTCTGCCCTCGTAACAGCCTCTACCACATCCTGAACACTACAGCTTGCCCTCAGGACGTCCCCGGCTATCCCATCGCCTGCCCAGCCACCAAACTACGCCCAAGAATATCATAAACTCATTGCCCTCCCTGGCGGATACTTGCCACCTGTTTTCATATACAAGCTCCAAACCGCATCACCCAGCTCAATTGCGCGCTCTTGAGTGCACTGACATTTCCACAATGGCCTGCGCCTGCACCAGCGCTGCACCACGAGTGGCAGTGTAGTGTCAGGCAGTAAACTGCCAGCAGCCACGAAGAGCTAGTCATTCTCGTCGCTGCTTTCCTTCCGTGCTGCTGGAGGCGTCTCTCCTTGGGAATGTCGACTTTGTGTGCACTGGTTTTCTTCATCGACTGGGATTGTTCTCATCTGTTCTGCGATACTTGTGCAGCCAGTCACAGTCACTTCCCTCCTTTTCATCTCGGTGCTGCCCCTTGCAGCAAATGGATGGCCTGAGAGTGCGTCAACACTTGCATCTCAGCCTTCAGAGTGCTTGTCGAACGTACGTTTCGATTCCATGCAAGCACCACTGTCTCTTTTGTCGAGAAGAAGTAGCATCTCGTCCACAAGCTTCATCGGTTGCTCGCAAGGTGTGCCTTCATTCCTCATCTCGATTGGTACACTCAAAACCAGAAGAGACAGCTGCGTCATCTGCTGCAGCACAAAATCAGATGGTATTTCATTTCAGCCTCACAGCCGAAACACAGGTCAATAACAATCTGCAATGTAACGGTAATTTCACAAACGCTTAGCTGCTCGAATCCACTTCCGTAAACACATGGTTTTAGGGAATAGCTTCCACGCACGCTAAAATTAACATGTAGTGCAAGACGACTTTCACAGACCTGGCCTTCATGCTGTGATTCAAGGGACAGCAACGTACATTTACAACCCTAACGCCCATCCTCAGGACTACAGGTTCTGTGAACGCCTCGATGCAACATGGAGGCCCACCTTTTCCGATGCCAACTTCCAGAGGTCCTTTGTTCTCGACGCTGGAAGCCTTCTCAGAGCCTTTGGCTTTCGACCCGTCACTTGCAGGGGCACCAGAAAGACTTTCACTCAGGGTCGCTTCACAGTCCTTGGACTGATCGACTATCTTGCCTGCCACCTCCTCTGCCAAGAGTGCAGCATATTTCACATCACCCACTATGGTCCTCTCAACAGACGAAGTGCCAGAATCTTTAGCACCAGTCCCTTCCCCTGATGCTGGCAGTGGGGCTTTGGGATCAGGTTGTTCAGTCTTGAGGCTCATGGACACAGTGTCCACAGCGCCTGAATCTACATCGCCTTGGACCTCACGGTCCTCTTTAGATGCATCCACATTCTGCTTTGCTGTGGCAAGCTCTGCCTCTGCGGCAGCAGCTGCTGCTGCAGCAGCGGCAGCTTTCTTAGCCTGTTTCTTGGCTCGTTTCTTTCGTGCTGATTTGCTTTTGGGCGCATTTTCCTCTTTGGCACCCAATTGGGTTTCTTCCAGGATGGCATCGTTCAACTCGCTGCTGTCGAACGACTCCCCCGTGACGGGCAACTCGCCAGGCACCTCAACTGCAACATCCCCCTTCGAATCCAACAGCTCCTCCACAGGAGCTGACGTCACCTTGGAGCTTTCCACAGAGGCGGCTGCAGCCAGTGGCTCGCCAGCACCACCTGCCAGAGCTGCATCCTTTGGCACATCCTCCACAGCACAGTCTATTGGCTTATCCGCTGCAACAGCCGATGCCTCAACCCCACCACTGGCTGCGGTGTCATCCTTAAGTGCAGCCTCTGCTGTGATATCTTTCACTTCATTCTTCTCGCAGCTTTCAGCTCCTGATGGTTTGCCATCGCTGCCTTGCACACACACAGCAACGGGCGCACTGTCATCTGTCTTGGCAACAGTATCCTGTCCTTCAGAGGCTGCAGACAGTGTTGCATCGCCTTCGATTTTGCCATCGTCCGTGGGCACAACAGCATCCACTTGCGCAGCGCCTTGGGTGCTGGCATCTGTCAGCTGCTCTGCCAGCTCACCCTTGCTTGGAGATGTCACTTGTGCCGCTGGTTCTTCCTTGTGGCAGGGCTCATCTTCTGCACTTTTCATGATGTCATCTGCTTTGGCAACAGATGGTTCTGGCCCATAGACTGTGGGAGCTACTGCAGCCGCTCCTTCCTCAGGGCGCTTGCACTCAATGACCACCTTAGGCTTCATCTCATCTGTTTCGGTAGGAAGTTGCTGTGCTTCAGGGGTTGCAGCTTCTGTTGCCTTGGGCACCTGTTCACTGCTAATCTTCATCTTGCTTTCATCCTTTCCTGGAATGCTATCCACTTTGGCAACATCACCGCTCTGCACTTCTGTCACGAGTTCTGCCACCTCAACTTTGAGCTTTGATCCACTTCCATCGATTGGTATCAAACCATCCGATTTGGCAACTGACCCCTCTGTCTCCAAGACGTTTGGGGTTGCAGTCAGAACTGATTCATCAACACACCTTTCACCACTGTCCTGGGAGGGAGTAACTTTCACTGATGTGGCAACAAGTTGTTCTACTTCAGGAGGGATAGCTGGGGTCAAATCAGCAGCTTGTACCTCGTTGGTTTTCATTGCACTGCCATCGTCACCCACAATGGTGACAACTCCGATAACAGCCAGGCTCTTGGCTTCCATCACACCTTTAGCCAGTTCATCCTTACACTGCGACCCAGCTTCCTCAACTGGTACAGTGGCCTCCAGCTCAGCAAGGGATGGCTCTGGCCTAGAGAACCCTGATGCTGACACTTCAGCCACTGCACCATCAGCGCCCTCAGTTTCAGCTGGTGCATTGCAAGCCATCTCTTTGGTTTCTGCAACCTTCATCGTGCCGATGCTATTGGGCAGTGCTGTCACATCTGCGTGCTCGCTGCCACTCAACACACTCTCCTCCTTCGTCACGCTAAATCCCAACTTGGCCACGAGTTCTCCTTCCTCCGGGGGCTTGTCCAGTGTTGGGAGAGGAACAGGCTCATCACTGGCATGGGCTTCACCCTTCTCCTTCGATGTGGCATCCTCCAAAATGTCAACAGTCTGCTCTGTAACACTGTCCTTGCCTGGTTCCTGAGCAGCTGGAGCTGTGTCAGCAAGTGGAGCAGTTTCCTGCTCGGCCACCTCTTTCTCAGCAGTTTCTCTGGTTTCAGATGAATCTGCAGCCAGCTGCCCCAAAGCACTCACACCAACATCACCTTCCTTCAACTTCAACTCTGCCTCTGGAACAGCATGTGCTGTCGCATCGGTTGTCCGATTTCCATCTTTGGGATCCAACTGCTCACTGCCCTGCTTTCTCACGGCATCTTTGAGGTCCTCAGTCTTATCTGCCACCTTTTCATCATGTCCAGCACTGGCAGACTGCTTTTCTGTCACCAGCAACTCTGACTCAGGAGGCTGGACTACTGCACACGCCTCATCCAGGAGCCCAGTACCTGATGCTGCATCAGCAACAGGATCGCCTTTCTCTGGTGCCACCGCTGGCTCTGCTTCGATTGGAGCCTTTTGTTCCTCACACGCGCCACACGACATGTCCTCCGCACATGGCTTGTTGCTGTCCACTCCTGTGCCTGTATCCTCTGTTGGCACCGCTTCCACCTGAGGAGCATGCCCCACCTCACTGCCGATGGCATCTGACACTTTATCATCACCAGTTGCCACACTGACACCCGTGGATACTGCCTTCTCAGCAGCAGAAGCTATAGGTTCCGTGTCATCTACTGTCCCCTGACCAACATCAAGAGCAGCAGCTCCATCTTTCACAAGAGATGCTTTCACCTCGATAACAGCATCTGACTTCTCAGGCGCAACAAAATCGCCCAGCCCCTTGCCCTCTTCCTTCCCTTTCAATGGCATCTGCATCTCGAGGCTTTCCGGCAACAGCACCACCCCCTCTGGCGCAGAACCTCCTTCAGTCACCATTCTTGATTCGACCTCGTTTCTCTCTCCAACCGCTTCAACTTCCTCATGGACCCCTGCATTTTTCATTGAAGACAAAGATGAGCCTGCCTTTTCCTCAGTATCCACAGATGGCATTTCACCAAGTTTTGCTTCACCTTCATCACCCTGCGTCTTATCCACTGTCGAAGCAACAAGACTATGCACACCTCCTGTGGCAGCTTGCTTCTCCTCTGGATCTGGAACCCCAGGTTTCGAAGGCGCCTCAGGGGTGTTGCTTGGTGCTATCCCGTCCACAGTCTGTCCCTGAGAAGGTTGTAGTTTAGATGCCCCGGCCATTGCAGCCAAGGCAGAATCCACAGCTGGCGCAGGCTCCACAGCCTCTGCAGGCTCCGCAGCCAGTGCTGCATCCTTCATGGCAAGTGCAAGGTCATCCACTGCCTCCATTTCAGCATCGTTTCCCTTTTGAGCTCCATCGTCTGCCTTGTGCGATGCATCATTCTGCGCAACATCAGAAGATTTCAGAAGTTCCTCTGTTGGTTTGTCCTCATCCTTGCTATCGACTTTCGAGCCAAAGCTGTCTCCGACTGTGCTATCCATTGTTGCTTTTGCCATCCCCGCTGCTCCAGATTGCGCTGTTGCCATCTGACCAGTGCCAGTGCACGCGTTGAAATCTCCAGCAGGTGACACCTTTTCCAATGCTTCTATCTCTGCATCGTCCTGGCCTGTTGGCTTTGGGCATTCTTTCTCAGCCAGTTCCACCACCTGGGCTGCAAGTTGCGGAGCAGGGTCCTCGGATTTCATGTCCACTGCAACAACTGGCTGTGGCTCGTCACAGGCCCTGTCTTCATCAACGTCTGGTACCGTCATGACAGGTTGTTCAGGAATACCCAAACTCCTGGTCCCTGACTTAGCACCCAGCTCCTGCAGAAACTCATTTGCAGGGTCTTTATCCTTCAAATTCTCCAAAACATCCGCAGGCTTCTGCACTGCGATGCTTGCAGCAGCATCGTCCTCCTCTGCTAATGTGCTGGCCTCAGTTTGGGGCTTCAGTGTGCTCTCCTTGGCTGATTTCCTCTCCTCTGCAACGACCGCAGTCTTTGCTTCTGAATGGCCCTTCTTTGCATCCTGCTGGCTGCTAGATGAGCTGGTAGGGGACTTGACACTATCTTCCTTCGTGGGGGGAGACTTGGGTGCCATGGGTTCACGTTTGGCGCCTCCAGCTTTGTTCCCCATGGCGAACTTCCCCAGTGCTGTAGTTGGCTTTTTCCGTTCCGCCTTGAGGTCCTCCATGGGGCTGACGGCGCGCCATGCTGGTTTTGCGTGTGCACTGCCTGCCTTCTCTGCCCGCACAGCAGATTTCTCATCTTTTCTGGATCCCACATTTGCACGATTTACTGGGCCTGCACCACTCTTGGAGGAAAGATGGTTTCCTTCAAGGTTTCCCAGATCTGTGCTGCATGGCACACTGTCGCCCATGAGGGTGAACGGCTCCTTGCGGGAGGGCTTGTGCACCTCGTAGTCTTTCGGTGGGGTGGTTGGACGCGAAGACAGCCTCTTTGCAGTGACAGGCTTTTTGGCTGTTGGTGGACTGGTAGCCCTGTCAGCGGCAAGGGCGGCAGCCCTATGTAGACAACAAAGTGAAAGTGAGCAATGGAGTGAACCCGATGCTGAGCATACTCATCAGTATTACATGGGGCAGATGCTGGAGTTTATCAATTTGCAAAAGAGCGACGGCAAGCTGGCTACCTTGAAAAAGCATGCAGGCGTTAATTCTGCTGATGGCTCCAAGCAGCAGCTGGCACAGACTACCACAACAGCAAGAATAAGCTACCCCTCCAATTGGGATACAGGAATATGAACCAGTGGTGCAATAACATCATGCAGGCATCCAGTCCAATGCCTCACATGTCCAGATTATGAACTCTCATCACATTCTGCGGTGTCGATGGATAGGTGAAAAGAGAGCCGACATTGCAACAATAAAGTTAAAATCCTACGCCTGATGCTTCAAATCAATTGTCATCCCCACTATACCGGCACCATGCAATCTGGACTCTCATATGCAAGGTCATGTCCAGATACAGCTGTAAGGTGCTAGCAGCCCACCATCTCCACAGTTCCAATATCCAATGGACCGCATACACAATTTGGATGCACAATTTGGGCCGAATTTAGTGCTGAGATACCAGTCCAGAACAATTGGGGGGGGGACTTTGGCTAGCATAGGACAAATACATGGAAACGTGACTGTTTAGTGCAGCAACTCCATGCACCCCATTCAACAACATCAACACCTACATCTTTGCTTCTTCCGCCTCTCTCTCCTTGCGACCTTTGTGCGCCAGGGATGTCTGTGTTGGACGCATGTAGCTGGGAAGCGAAGAACTGGACCTCCTTGATGTGGTCTTCTTGGTGCGTTCAGGCGAGGTCGATTCTGCAACCGTCCTGCCATCCCAGACAATCCAAAAGTACATTAGTCATCATGCGTCTTCAGCTACACAATTGTACCCGGCATCCAGCAAGGCCATTACAAGGCAACCACAATCAGCAGTGTGCATTCCTGTTGAACTCAAA